TACTTAGCAGGTGTATTTTTTGCGTTTTGAATCTTTAAAGTGAATTTCCTCAAAACTAGAAATTTCAAGTTATCTAATTGTTGCACTAAGGGGACGATATATATAGAACATTTTTAGTATATTCGTAGAACATTATTGTTATGTGAGCAAGAAATTAAATATTAGTATTAACCTAAAAATCCATCAATAATTAGTAGTATTGATTTGTTATTTCAATTATACTGAACTATAACGTCAATAGTTTTTAAAATGGAAAACCTGATATTTTATTAGTCCCTTTAAACGCAAATTCATTCTAATCTATAATTAATTCTAATTTTTCTCAAACAGTTTTTATGAAAATTATACAAAAAATTTCTGTGACGATCTAAAATGAAATCATTTTAAAACTATTTAATTAACTTGCTTTTGCATTTATGCCTAACTTTAAATATAGAAGAGATTTTATGAATTTTATAAGTTTTTCTGGGACATCCTTTACTTTCTTATAAAAGGTTCAGAACTGATCTGAATAAATATGTTTATCAATCTTGTTACATTTACAACTCATAACTAATACTATTTTATTTACTATATAACTTTCAGAAACTTGAATGAATAAATTTTATGACTGCTCTAAATATTATTGTATCAATAATATTAATATTCGAAACTTTCAATATAACGATATAAGTTCTACAATTCTATATGCAATATAGTTGTATTCAAGTTTCACTTGTCAAAGAGAACGTGAACATGAAGTTTCGATTAGATAGGAATAAAATGGCTGCCAAACGACTAGAAATTACAAAGAGTAGAACAGAATTTCGGAATTATTAGTGCATGAAGTCATTTGATTTGAACAAGGGCAATCTCCTTGTTTTCGAATTGAAAACACTACAGTATTATAAATGTTCGTAGATTCAGAGAACAACTCTCGAGCTTGTAAATTTTAGAGTTTTGAGATAAGTTGAAAGCTAGATTTTCAAGTGAAACTTTCAGCAACATTTCTGACAGAAATAAAATGTAAATTTGACTCGTAAAATCGTGCCATCCAATATACAGGTTGATTCGACTACGGTGGTGCATTCGCGGCATTTATTTGTCAGCCAATTTTCTGGTAAAATGAGACATGGTTTCAGATCCTACGGAAGACCATATGAATTTATTTCTATAGGATTTGATGGATGCCATATTAGTAGAAATTTAATTTCTGTTTGTATGACATCCAGATTATTAAAATAAAATCACCATGCGCTACCGTTTTCGATGATGGTGAATGGGGTTTTCCGAGTTTTCCTCACCTGTAAGTCAATCATATTTAAGTCCCGGAGCGCCACGGCAAATAATAATAATAATAAAAGCCGTCCCTTTCCCTGTACAAGCTCAGCTTTTGGGGTTAAAATTTACTGGTAAGGGGGTGAATTAGGGAGAGGGCTAAGGGTAGGTTATTTGTACCAAAATATGGCTATTAGATCAAATATAGCTTAATAAAATATTGCTGTGGAATGAGATACAGAGCGTTAAAGTTAAATTTTTTTAATCTCGCAACAAAATTAATTTGCTGACAAGAAATAACATTTACCAGACAATTATTTGACAGGCCAAAGCACACTTTTCATAAATGAAATAATATTATTTGAAATCCTCTTTTGGAACTCTAAACTGTTTAAACAAAAGTATCAATATTACATAGAAGTGATGATGATTTTCTAAAAACACCAAAATGTTTCGTTAAAAAAGCAACCCCTGTTCTAAAAGCTTCATTGCTTGGACTAATAATCAACCATTGCAATTTGTAAAATTTAAGCACGGGAAATCAAAAATAGGACTACAATATTTCTAAATTTCAATATAAAGCAAAATATGAAATAAAAATGTTGAAAGGAATTAAAAAAATAAAATTTAAATAATTATACTTTCTTTTTAAATAATTTAGAACCAATGTTAAAGTGTGTATTAGAAATTTTGCAATTTTACAAATTTGATGCTTGCTTATGGATTCTAAATTGATGCGGAACTAAGTACAACTTTTTGAAACACACTGTATACCTTAGCATGAAATTGTAATGTCTATACTCGGACAAAATATTGAAGAAGGTGATTCCTCCATGTTCACGTACAACAATCATACTATACCAAAACATAACGAATGGAATCACGCGCTTAAAACTGCAAAAATTATTGGTAATACGTGCCAACTAGTCATAAATGCATGTTTATTGCCAAAATGTATTACGCCAGTGGCGTATAAAAACTATTGGCAAATTAAATGCGGTAATAGTAAATAATATTAGATGAAAGTAGGTTGGTTATCTATTTTTGTAGTAATAATTGTTTATAATTGTTAATTATGTTTATAATTTTGTTTTGTTTATTGTTAAAATATGTAAATATGCCAGTGGCGTAGAAACACTATTGGAAAATTAAATGGGGTATTATACTAGAATAAAATATTGAAGAAGATGCGCCTTAAAACTGCAAAAGGTATCGTTATCATATCAAAATGCACTCTTCCAGTGTCGCAGAAATACTATATTGGCAAATTAAATAGGTATTTGTGAATATTACTAGATGAAAGTAGGTTAGTTATCTATTTTTGTTATAATAATTCATCTATGTTTATAATTGTATTTTGTTTATTATAAAAATATGTAAATTAAGCTTACTTGAATTCTAAATCTATGAAGTTTCGTAATCCATTGATTCTGCACTGGAATCGTCTTTATCGTCGGAACTTAAAGTTATGACTAAAGGTTCAACTACCGTTTCGATCATACCGTCCAAGCGCCACATATTATTTTCTTCCTTAATTACATGAGAAATAGCATTCTGCCAATCTTCAGGTTTTATACGTTCTATACCGGTTTTTAATAAACTTTGAACGTCGGCTTTTTTAAATGTTTTATTTTCTCGAGCTACAAACCCTTTCACTAACGCCCAAATTAGTTTAATAGGATTGAATTAGCAGTGATAAGGGGGAAGTCTTAGTACCGTAATACCACGATCACGAGCCATTGTGTCGACAACATATTAAATATATTTATGGCGATGTTCCTTTATTAGGTCCATTAATTGCACTTTAAGCATCTCCTCAGTAAATGTTATTGCTTGATCCCGCAGCTAGGTTTGCATATCCGCTTTCCTACTGGACATTATCGGAATGCGTTCAACTCGTCGACTGTGATGAGAAGCGTTATCTAGTACAATAACATATTTTCGTTCTACACGTTGTAATACTTCAGTAAACCATTTTTCAAAGCATTCCCCATTCATGTCCTCGTGGTAGTCTCCTGTTTTTTTTTTTCGATATAAACACAAGAGCGCTATTTTTCAAAAATCCACTGTCACTTCCGATATGGGTAAAAATTAGGCGCTGTCCTTTACCTGATGGTGCTTTCAAACCTGTAGATAATCCCTCTATAAAAGCTTGGCGATGACTAGTTACAGAAGTATCTTGCCATATCTGAGATACCGTGTGTCCAGCGTTCACCCACGTTTCATCGAGATAGTATATCTTTTCTTTAGCGGCTCCAAACTCTTAAATATTTCGTAAATAACGCCGTCGCCAGGACACTTTATCTGACCTCTCAATTAAAATTGATTTCCTACACCGTTTGACAAAACGAAATTTTAGGCCCCATAAAATTTTTCGTAAAGTTTCACGGCTCATTAATGGAATTTCTTCGTTTTCTCTTAATTTGGTAAGAACAACTTTAAGTGTTGGGGCTTTGTTTTCGAAAAAAAAAAAGAATGCACAGTTCTTCGAATGATTTGTTTTTGGTTATCGTCCAATTTCAACAATTTCTGACCACGGGTATGCGTTTTAGGGGCTTCGAAGGAGCCTTTTTTTGTCTTTTCGCGTACAATACGTTCAATTTTTAAAACAGATACTCCAGTTAAAAAAGAACTGCGGTTTACAGCTTTATTTGTAGGAAGTGTCTATTTCAGCCCATCATACACTTTCCATATAATGTTCTTTTCATCCTTTGATAAGGGCTTTCGCCGACGTAATTGGGTTTCACTTGGACCCGCCTCTGAATCCGTTACTATTATAACAATATAATTCTACTAATAAATTGTTTTTATTAAATTTATAAAGACACCAATATTTTACTATTTAATAAACTTTTAAAATACCTACCTAATATACTACACAATAAATATAACTCCGAATATGCACTACCACTACCAAATTGTAAGGCACAAACATGAACACCTACTCGTATATCAGAAAAGAGAACTTATACAAAAAAGTGTTTATAAAATATAAAATAATTATCGTAAATAGTTAAAGCGATACAAATTTAACTTCGTCGAAAGTTAGTTTTCAACTGTCTTTGTGCCTGTGCTGACAAAATTCAATCTGTAACCCGTCTGTCGTTTATTTACTTGAAACACATTCATTTGTCATCGCCTCCCAATATTAGGGTATCATCTTACAAAATTTTAGTCTCTATTGCAAAGTTAAAAATGATTTCAACTGATTTAGCGGTTTTGACTCTTTAACTGATCCACACATAGACGGACTTTTTTGTCTAACTAAATGAATGTAACGATCAACGAAATTACCAAGAACGGAGATGACACGTTTTTAAAAGCGGTGTTTTTAAAACCATAAATATATTCATTTCTTGAAAACTATCAAAAACGTGTATTTAACGCATCATCTTTGTTTAAATAAAGATATTGACAAACAAATTTAATAAAGTTTACTAACAAATACCTAATAAATAATAAATAATTATTTGGTATTTGATACGCCGCCTATGCTGACTCTGTTACTTTCCGTCGGAATTTTCATTCATATATAACAGTGTTGATCATGCATATGACTCACCTTATTCAATATTTTGTTCTAGTATAGTATTATTATAATTATTATTTAGGTATAAGTTTTTTTAAATTAACACTATCACAACTGCTAAAGAGTACAAAAGTTTTTAGAAGTACCTAAATGTTTAGTTTTGTTAACTTCAGAGATTCATATCTATATTTTAATCAACAAATTTTCTTTTCAGGCTATCGCTGCTGGCATGTGGAAAATTCTGGAAACGATTCTCGTGGGTGTTTTCATTTTATATTCAACGGTAAGTGTATTTAAACATTTTCTTTAGGATTTTTTTAGGAAAATCGACGTTTTAAAGCCTCTTAAAAACAAACAAATATTAATAATTATAAATAGTCTTTTCATCCGACCAAATTGAAGTTAATCAAAGATCAACTAATAATTATGCATGGGTATTGCGATCTTAAGTATGTCATAGTGTTTGTATTCTGTATCCAGAGTTGTGTGATTTCTGGGGAAATTTAATTTGACAAAGCAATAGAGCGTATGTTCAATGTTAGGTCCTTCTCGTTGATTTCTCCAATCAACTCCAACCCTCTCGTCAGGGGAGGACGTTTTAGTCAAATCAATTTGCACTTTATTTTTAACATTATTTATTTAATAAAACCAATAACTTTTACCACATGGAGTTTGTTGAGGCATTAAGTTGAGGAAACCTATCTAAATTAGTAGATTGAGTGTGTCTCATGGACGTCCACTCACTTCGAACGATTACATTATTATATTAATTTTACCCTTTTAATATAACAAAAAAAAAAGGAAGTTCCCCTCTTACTTTATTAGACGCAATATTTAAATTATTATAGGTACCTAATTGGCTGTTGCACCTAAACTATTGTAGGGGTGATTATGGAATACCACCTTTTACCACCTGTGACTGCACTTATCTCAAAACTGAATGCTGTAAATCCAGGATTTAAATCTTTCATAGTGTTGCTTGGGATAAATTGTTAAAAAGGTGTTGGACAAAACGTTTACAACCTAAAATTGCATGGAAAACATCATAGAGGAAGGACTTTTACCTTTATGACATTCTCTTTCAACATTTTTAAGTGACCAAGTTTGTGGTTTGGTGAATGGACTCAGTTACCACAGTCAAAAAATTCAAATTAAAAAAAAAGTGACTAAGTTCTAATAAGAATATATAAGTTGAATATGAAAATGTAATTACTTGATTTAAATGTGATTTAATTAAGAGCTGAATAGATGTTTCATATGAACAAAGTGCTGTAAAATGTTGATCACTCGACCATTCTCTGTTGGGTACTAATTAACAGTGTTCCTAAAGTGGCGCTGGGAAATAGTAAAAAGCTTACACAAAACACGAGGCTAATAACCGTAGCAGTTGATGCCGATGACACAAAAAAAAATGTTGATAAATGCAAAACCATTATTAAAAAGAAATTAGTTATCATCAATAGAAAATTTTGTAGTAGCTGGTCTCTTTAAATAATAAACTTGAAAGACTGGGAATTAGTAATTACTTTTACACTAGAAGTAAAAACAGAAAAAAATGTGTGGTTAATTGAGACTAATTTAGGTAATTTCCTATTCTAAGCCATACATGTTTCCTATTATAGTTTTCATCCGTTTATAATTCTGGAGATACTGAAATATTTTGCTTGATTACTAAACTTTGGTTGTTCTTGTTGTGGTATGCTGTTAACACTATTGTCCTGAAATATCAAAAAACCTACACAAAGGTTTGTCCAACTCTTTTGTCAGCTTTGTTAATCTATGTTACTGTTATTGTGCATGCAGACATTTTTTACTGGAGATTTTTTCTAATAACTGTTTTAGTTTTAAATTTCGACCAGTTTTAGGAAAGTACCTCTGTTGTATAGAAAATGTATAGAAAACAAATCGCAAGATATTACACAAAATTATTTAAATTAAATAAAAACATACAAATGAAGTTAATAATACCTACCAACAATTTAAAAAGACCCAGTCTATTTAGACTGGAGCTCTAAAAAAAGAGCTATAACTTGTTATGCATCCTCATCTATAAGAAAATTACCTTTTAAAATAAACCAAACCAAAACAGCACAAAATTAGAAGTGATCTATTTTTCACGACGTATTCTATGTACATTATTAATTAATATTTATTAAATTAATAATTTATTAAATTGAAATATTTTATCCTAAAAAATATGGGCATTTTATAATGAAAATGTCATTTAAAAAAGAACATTGATTTTTTTTCTTATATTAGTAAGCCTGGCAACTACAGGTTGCCAGATCAATGGGCGACTACTATTTCGAAAAAAATGGCGTCCAAAATGGACTTCTATGTCGCGACCCCCTTAGATATACTAGCCCTGGCCAAAAAACTAATATTGACAGCTGTCGATGAGTCATCATAAAGAGGCCATCATTTTGCTTTGGCATTCGTTGTTTGTATGTTTGTATTTTTAATTGCCTTCATATTGTGAATAAGAAACGTTTAGTTAGATAATAAAAAATGGTTCTAAAGTGTTGTGTGCCAATATGCAGGGGAAATAATGACAGTGAGAATAAAAGACACATATTTAAGTTTCCAAAAGATACGGAATTAATTGAAAAATGGGTTCGTGCCATACCTAGAGAAAAATGTGTGCCTTCAAAATGTTCAGTAGTAAGTTTTTATTTACACATATTTCAAGAAATATTTTATGCATTATTGTTATATTATCTATGTATACTGTTTACATTAATCCATGTCTTTTTTTATTTATTGAACCATGTCTCATTTTGATATTATTATTTGAATGGATGATATTTTGTGGAAAACGAATGAATTTGATGGGAAAACTGGACAACTGCTAACTGTCAACTTATTGAAGCCTCGTTTGTCTGCTACAGCAGTTCCATCAGTTTTTCCTAATTGTCCCGTAGTCAGTTAAACACCAACAGGGATTCTCCAGAGAATAAAAAAAAAGAAATTAGTCGCCTCAGCTTTACAAAGGGCTTTAGAATAAAGCACATCTGATCATGCAGAATATATGGAATAATATTCAGTTACGTGTTTGAGTGAACTTAAGTTAAAAATAAACCTTTTAAATCTTAATGAAGACTGGAGTGTTATAAAAAAATCTAGTTGTTTTATTTTATACACCGATGTAAGTAGAGAACCTCATTGCATTATTTATATTGTTATAGAACAAAATTTGGAAACTAAAGTGTATAGTAAGGGGATTGAACTGAAATGTTTGAACAAACATTTCTTAAAAATCACAAGCATAACTGACAGAAGGTGATAATAATGTGTCAAAAAAACAAATAATTCTTTTTCCGCCTACCTCTATCCAAAGAATACATTTACTGACCTCCTTGCAGGGAGCAAAGTCATACTTTTCCTCCCTAGGGAGGAAAAGTACTTTTACTCCCCAGGGAGGAAAAGTAAAAGTGACGTCATGGTATGTCATAAATGAAATAGCTTATACAGCATTGACGACCTAAACTATATTCTATTATATAAGTATGAATTTTACCGTTTATTTATAGAACACCTTGTATTTTGCAAAATAGTAAAAATCAGTAAATTGTTATTTTAATTTAACGATTTTTACATTAATAATTTGACTTCAATTCATAGATTCATCCGATTTTCGAATTTAGGACAGAAATATTATAGCATGCTATGGTCGATTGACAGATCAGTTTTAAAGTGTGTTACGCTATAATATATCTACAAAATATAAAATAATATTTAAAAAATGAGTGATTCAAGCGAATTTAAAGATATAAATAATACACCACCAGATATTTTGGAACAGGTTAATGCAACAGTTCAATCTCTATTACCCCAAAAAACTAAAGAAAAATACGAAAAACAGTATTTACATTTCAAGCAATGGGCCGAAGAAAAGCATATTCGTACTTACTCAGAAAAATAATTACTCTACCACAAGAAGTGGCCTATTCAGATTACTAGAAAACAGGTTTCTTCCACCACCTGTAAAAGTAAAACAAACAGTTAATGACTTAGTTTTGGATGAAGGAGGGCAATTTCTTGATCTTCCAGTCAATTTAACTCTACGCTTAAGTGCTTCACTCAAAGATTTCGTGCAAATGTGCTATGATTATTTTTGTCCGACGGTAAAATTGAGGCTATCAAGTCGAACATGCAAAACGTGTTGTCTTTATCATGCTTCCGTCAAGTCACTAAATCGTCACATCGAGAAGATCCATAAAAAAGTAAACACGCACACTGATAGGAAAGTTAGACCTGTAAGAGTCGCTGCTCGTCGTGCTAATGAACTGATGTGCATTATTCAAAATTTAGAGCACCACGATGTTGAATGGCTCGATGAGAACGACATAGATATTCCAAAATTGAATGAAAGTGAGCAGACTCGCAACACTGAGCAGCAATCCAAGCAATTCAATGTCATCGAAAACTTAGAATCATGGATTCGGGTTTCATGGACTGAAGACTATTAATTTGAATTAAATATGTATACCAAAAATTTAAAATAAGTTTGTTATGTTCGTGAGATTATAATATTTTTGTCCCTTACTTTATGTTGAATACAGTATCAGTAAAATCTAATCTCTATCCTAAATCTATTTTTAAAATTATAATTATAACATTATAATTATAATATAAAAAAAAACATTTATAATTGAAAAATGTTTACGTAAGCATGGGGGAGGAGGTAAGAGCTTTGATTACTTTTGATGACAAGGGGGATGGGGGGGGGGTAATTGTAATAAATCTGCTTACGTAATATTTGAACGACCCCTTGCTCAATAAACATTTATTTATTTAAAGTACTCGTTACACCTAGTATTAAATTATCGAAGCTATGAAAAGATTGAAACCAAAAAAATCAGCAGGCAACGATAATATTCCTCCATACGTTTTAATAGGCCACTGAGATTTTCTTATAAAACCTTTAAGCAACTTTTTTTGTATAATATTATCTCCCATTTTTCACTTCCATATTTTGAGCAACGAAAATTTGTAAAATTATCTGACAACGTCAGATATTCCATATAGGAAAGCCTCTGCGGAATAACCAATCGATACTTCAATATTTAAAGACGATAAAAATGAAAAACCAATTTTTAAAAATCTTCGCTGAAACACTTTACTCTGTGATAAACACTATAAATCCGTTTATTGGATAGTAGAGCGAAAAGGACGCCAGATCTGGAGGTATTCGCGCTACGCGAAGTCGATATCAGCGGATAGTGATTTCGCTTTTAACCGACGCCGCCGACGGTGTGCGACGAGAAGCGTCGCCTTGTCACG